ATCCAAGTCTTCTAGTTGTTGCCACATCGTCCATTGGATTCCATTTCTTTTCCCTTCAGTTGCTTCTTTCATGATGTAGTCTATTGTCAAGAGGGAAAGAAAAGGTGATAGCAGGCAGCCTTGTTTTACTCCAGTTTTGACATTAAATCTCTCGCTGATATTGCCTTCATGTATACCTCTGTATTTCATGTTGTTATAGGAGTTTCTGATGATGTTTATGAATGTTTGTGGTATTCCATAATGATCCATGATGTTCCAAAGGGTTTCTCTGTCCAAGCTGTCAAATGCCTTCTCAAAGTCTACAAAGTTAATCAGTAGGGATGTGTTCCGCTCTAAGGACTGTTCTATTATTATGCGTAGTGTGGCTATCTGGTCTATGCATGATCGGTATTGTACAGTTTGTTCTTATGTTGTACTGTTGCACCACTGTCCCATGTTAGGGAAGGGTTGGGCGCCCGCTTACTTGTCAAAACATTATGTACGTGCCTGTCCCAAGTCAGGATGCTGTAATTCATTGAAAACCGTTGTTGTTCCGTATATCAAAATTGATTTTCGTTTATTTTTTTGAGCATTAATAAGGCCGTTAGTTTTCTCGTCTGCGTTGTTTTACATTAGTGATTTAGGGGCCATTATGGTAGATTCACTGTATACCGCCATCTTGGGTTGTACAACAGCAGTACACAATCGGTCTAGTTCTTTGCCTAAATCTTCAAATTTTGAGACAGATTTTCAATTATGTGTTAGACTGATTATTTGTATAAAGAAAAATAAGTGATTCATTGCATTATCCAAAATGTTAAAAAAAAACAATTATTTATGTTTTTAGAATTAATTTTTCAACTTGGCCATTTAAGGGGAGTTAACTCTTGTAGTAAAAAATGTATACTGGAATGATAGTAAAATTCTATCTCATAGATTTCTTTTTATTCTCAAAAATGTGTTTTATCATGAACAATCTATACAAATTTGGGCAATTTTGCACGACTTGTTGCTTGAAAAATAGCACGGTAACCCATACTTTTTATTATATTTTTGAAAAAAGCATGAAAAAATCTTCATTTTGGAAAAATATAAAAAAAATCTATCTGAGGAAATATATACCGATGATCCACCTTAATTGCTTACTGTGTGGTATTGGCTTTGCTCATTGTCGAAGGCCGTATGGTGACCTATAGTTGCTTACTTCTTTATCAATTGGTCTCTGGTGGACAGTTATCTCATTTGCAATCATATCCCATCTTCTCATTTTTATATGATTGAGAAAAGCACGACATTGCGCTATGTCAATATGTACCGACGGGATGTAGGACCGTTAGTGTTCATAACTGTATAAAAATACATATTTAGTTATGTTACAATTGATTAAAAAAAATCCGCAACTACTTGAAAACGACTCAACAAAATCTGACCAAACTTGCACAGATTTTTCTACAAGACAATGGTCATGAGTAGAGGACCTGATAAATATTCATCTGAGTTATTTATTGGGTTTCCCATATCAAACATGGACTTAATATGAAATAAGGAGATGTGTTATGATTGTTAATGAGACAACTATCCACCAAAGTCCAAATAACGTGGATTTAAGCAACTTGGCTGTTTCTGTTTGTTAATTATTTGGAGATGGTAGGGGCAAACGTCATCCTAGGAAGACACACATTCTGATTTTTGAACTGCCATCGGTTATCTTCCTTTGAGTTCCTCAATATGCATGACTTGATAAAGATTTCAACACAAATATATTACAGGACTTTTTTTTAAAGATTGAAACTATCATTTGCACTTAATGAATGTAGTTTATACAATGTAACAAACTTGTAAATGCCACAATGAATTAGGTTTACTGGTCAACTGAAAATCAAACCTTAACAATAAAATAATAAATCGTATGAAATAATTTTCCTGTGATTTATAATTTTTTATCTAGAAGAAAAAAAAACATGGGAAATTATGACAATTAATTTAAATTAATATTTAGAAAATGTACAAACAGTTAGTAAACACACTTGTGGTCTCATTATGCAACATCCGCAGGTATAATTAAGTGTCATGTGGTACATAAAAAATATACTAATAATTGAATTATTGATATGGTTTTTAATCAACTTGTCACGATGGAAAAATGCAAAATTTTAAAAGTTGAAAATAATGAATAATGCAAGAAACATTGTGTAATATTAATCAATGGATGACAATATAACAGATGTTTCATGGTTAGAAAAATAATGATTTGTTAAGATGTACTTATGTTTTATCTATTGCCATGACAAACGTTATCATTATTATTATCTGCTGCTTCGTCTCTGTTGGTTTCAAGTTTGCTGGAATTGTTTGTAATAAAAAAAAATTATTAGATTTTCTTTTATGATTAGTTTGTGTTAGAGATAGTTTAGTCAAGATTTTTTTTCTTTCCAAGTTCACTTACTTTGTCTTATATCTCCGATTCGTATAATTTACCACACCTTGATTCGATAGGCATGAGAATCTCATTCCATTAACGCATATTTTTTTTAATTAAGTATGTTTTTTTTTTCTTAACCTGGATTTTGCAAATTTTTCTCAGATCCTTTGTTTTTTATTCCTTTACGTATTTTACTGAATATTTGTATGTAGCGACATCTACTAGTATTCAAAATGTCAGTGTGCATTAAAAAACACTTCTAAAATGCAACGATTTAAAAAAAACCTACACGTTTGAACGAACTTTGAATTGTCACGGTTCTGTATGGCATATTTGTATATCGCACTACAACATGAAAATGACACTTGATAAATTATGCGCGTCCCAGAAGCGCTTTATTTTGATTTACTTTCACAAGGAACGCCCAAACCAAAACATTTGTAAGCCAGGGATGTATAAATACGTAGAAACGTTAGGAGCTATATGGCCAAGCTATAAGGAACAGTCAAATTAATCTGAGGTCAACTTTGCCTAATGGAGTTTGAGCATACAACGTATTCAATCTGTGTTTCTCTGTGATATCTTTTTTATATAACAATATATTTATTAGATATCATTTACCACACTAAAGTCAAATTATTATATAAAGTATATTTTTTCAATAAAAAAGATTTAAAAATCGTGATTTATAGCGGAAACCTTTACTTCATCATGAAGTTTAATATGCTTTAAAAACGATACATCATTACATATATCAGTTATGACCACGGAAATCAATCATCATTTTCTCTGATTATTTTAATTTTAAACATCGTAAATGTCAATTACATATCATGTTCAGTCATGGCCAATGAGAACGAATGCAATCTGTTTGAAATCTCATTTATAGCTTTACCACATATTAGAAACTTTGTTTTGTTAAATTTATTCGAGTAACAAATCAATATCTATATGGAATAAAGATGATTTCCGTTTCAATGGATGTAAGTATAAATTTTCAGTTAATAAATTGAAAAAAAATTCATGCTTCAAAATAAACCTTTAGAAAAAAAAGGCATTGATTGTGTCTATAACAGTACGTACCAATTATCATAATTTTGAAGTATAAAATGTTTTACATGCTAGTTAATATCAAAATGCAACAAAACTTAAAATAACGAAGAAGGTTAATGCAATTCCTGTTTTTGAAATCTGATTTATAGCTTTACCACATATTGAAAGCCTTGTTATTAAATCTATCTGAGCATAGATGTGGGCTTATACAGCTATGCTCTGAGTAATGAAATAAAATCTATATGATATAAAGACGAACTCCGTTTCAATGGATGTAAGTATAAATAAGAAATTCTACATTTTGATAGTCACATATTTTGATTGCCAGAAAATACCATTGATTTGAAAAGCAAGATTTCAAGACGTACGACTTATTGGCTTGGGCTGGTATGCATAAAACTACTTAAGTTACGATATGTGCCGAAAGGTCGGATTTTTATACATGTCCTACGATAAATTAGTACTACGATAGGATATCTTAACTTAAGTGGTTTTATGCATATCAGCCCTGGTTTTTAATTTATTGAGATTTTTGTGCAAGAAAACTTGTCTCCTTTTTTATGCAGTATTAATAAGTAATGAGATAACTAAAAATAAGGTTGTGATTGATCTGTTTGGTCACTTAAGTCTTAAGTTAAGCTAAGGTTAATACATGCTCTGAAACGTTTCCGGCTTTTCAAACCCCAGGCATCGAGCATACCTGAAGAAGGTTATACGTACTCACGGTATTCTATGTTTATTTATAATAATAGTTTTGTTCACATGTCATGTACGTAACACATTTATTAAGGTATGTTAATTAACAATCAAATTAAATTTTGAATTCTTAACATACGTTTAAAACAGGTAATATTTACAAACAAAATTAATAATATCAATGGAAGACAAACAATCTTCTGAATGGTGCGGATGCGGTTAAAGAATAGAAAATAATGGGTAAAAAAATAAAGAATAGATAAAATTAGAAAAAATAAAGAATAATGGAGTGATAACATATAAAGAACTGTTAAACGTATATATATATATATATATATATTTATATATGTGTGTGTGGTTTATTTATGTTCAAACTGCCTTTTCTTTGTTTGTTATTGTCTTATTAATGTCTTATATTGTATTATGCTCCTTGTGAGCCCATTTAATGGAAATAAAACATCTAAAGAATAGAGAATAACGGATACAAAATAAAGGATAGATAAAATTTACCAAACTGAGAATTAAATATAATAAAAATCAAGACCCTCAGATAAGCTGTTTTTTTGTTGTCTTGAAAATGTTTGACTTAATTTAGAGTTTAATGTATGGATGAGACGTACCTACAAAGATGGATCTATACATGGGAAGCTATATAATAAAATATGTTAAAAATGATTGATCATTACCATTTCAACTTATGAAATCCGAATCATCTTTTCTCGGCACATCTGTTTGCAGACGAAAACCAAATGCAAAATCTGCTTTAATTTAAAGGTGAACAAAAGTTGCTGGTAGCAATCAAAATGACAAGAAAAAAGATTTGTTGTTTTATTTATTTTTTGTTCCGATATATTATATATACTTTATCATTGTATCTGTCATTTCTTCAAATAAAAACATCTTGTTTATTTGACCCTCAGAAAAAAAAAATATATATACATTTACACGTAAGAATAACTAACCGTCGTTACAACAATCCAGAAATACTCGTATAACAAACAAATAGCATTCTTGGGGATGTATAGAAGGACGCAACCGATGCATTGAATCTTGGATATGTATATAAGGACGCTACCAATGCATTGTATCTTGGGGATATATAGAAGGACGCAACCAATGCATTGAATCTTGGGAATGTATAGAAGGACGCAACCAATGCATTTAATCTTGGGGATGTATAGAAGGACGAAACCAATGCATTGAATCTTGGGGATGTATAGAAGGACGCAACCGATGCATTGTATCTTGGGGATGTATAGAAGGACGCAACCAATGCATTGTATCTTGGGGATGTATAGAAGGACGCAACCAATGCATTGAATCTTGGGGATGTATAGAAGGACGCAACCAATGCATTATATCTTGGGGATGTATAGAAGGACGCAACCAATGCATTATATCTTGGGGGTGTATAAAAGGACGCAACCGATGCATTGTATCTTGGGGATGTATAGAAGGACGCAACCAATGAATTGAATCTTGGGGATGTATAGAAGGACGCAACCGATGCATTGTATCTTGGGGATGTATAGAAGGACGAAACCGATGCATTGTATCTTGGGGATGTATAGAAGGACGCAACCAATGCATTGTATCTTGGGGATGTATAGAAGGACGCAACCAATGCATTGAATCTTGGGGATGTATAGAAGGACGCAACCAATGCATTATATCTTGGGGATGTATAGAAGGACGCAACCAATGCATTATATCTTGGGGGTGTATAGAAGGACGCAACCGATGCATTGTATCTTGGGGATGTATAGAAGGACGAAACCGATGCATTGTATCTTGGGGATGTATAGAAGGACGCAACCAATGCATTGTATCTTGGGGATGTATAGAAGGACGCAACCAATGCATTGAATCTTGGGGATGTATAGAAGGACGCAACCAATGCATTATATCTTGGGGATGTATAGAAGGACGAAACCGCGATGCATTATATCTTGGGGGTGTATAGAAGGACGCAACCGATGCATTGTATCTTGGGGATGTATAGAAAGACGCAACCAATGAATTGAATCTTGGGGATGTATAGAAGGACGCAACCGATGCATTGTATCTTGGGGATGTATAGAAGGACGAAACCGATGCATTGTATCTTGGGGATGTATAGAAGGACGCAACCAATGCATTGTATTTTGGGGATGTATAGAAGGACGCAACCAATGCATTGAATCTTGGGGATGTATAGAAGGACGCAACCAATGCATTATATCTTGGGGATGTATAGAAGGACGCAACCAATGCATTATATCTTGGGGGTGTATAGAAGGACGCAACCGATGCATTGTATCTTGGGGATGTATAGAAGGACGAAACCGATGCATTGTATCTTGGGGATGTATAGAAGGACGCAACCAATGCATTGTATCTTGGGGATGTATAGAAGGACGCAACCAATGCATTGAATCTTGGGGATGTATAGAAGGACGCAACCAATGCATTATATCTTGGGGATGTATAGAAGGACGAAACCGCGATGCATTATATCTTGGGGGTGTATAGAAGGACGCAACCAATGCATTGTATCCATCTTTTTTTTTAAATTCCGAATAATCGTTTATTAAAGTATAACTACTTTACCAGCTAGCTTGAAAATAACATGAGGATATCGTTTATTTGATAGACTTTCACCTAGCATTGTGCAAAGTGCTCAAAAGAAAGGAGGGGGGGGTGTTTAAATTAAGAAATTGTTAAAACGTTTAACCGTTGGAAGATTTTTTTTAAGAAGAACAGAAAAAGAGTTATTTTAAGCATGGTTAAAATGTAACAAAAAAAACCCCACAAAATGATCAAGATGAAAATGTTTTCATATCTTAAAAAAGGGACAAATTTCTAAATAATTCTCATTACAATCAGTACTATCTTCTCGAAACGGAAATCAAATAAGATTCAAAAATCTTGAAATGAGTAACAAGTCTATTATTCAAATTATCTGACCATAATTATATTTTTACTTTTTTTCAGGTTTTTCTGTCTTATTGGCTGACATTTCTTAGTTCTCTTCTAATCTTTTTGGCTCAAGGTAAGCTTAATATAGTTATGATAATTGACATTCATTTCATCATTAATTTACATACTATTTCTTGTCAATGAAGAATCATTTCATTAGACGGTTCTAAAATATAAAGTACATACACACTTGTTTATGTCGTTGCTGTTTTATATCGTTTAAAGCACAGCCAACCATATAAGAGTCGAGGACGGTATGAATTCATATCTGAGGTTAAGTAATTTGAGCTTGCTTTCAGTAAATGCGAGCTTCTTTGCTGTGGTATATTTTTTTTTAGTATTGTTTGTTTCACTTGTGTTTTTGCTATCTAATATATCATCATTTAAGAGTTAAGGACTTTTCCTGTATTGAATTTAATTGTATGTTCTTATATGTACTTTTCGCGAGTTCTTTGATCTCCTTTAAAAGGTTGAGGTTTGGGATCTAATAAAATCTCGATTATACGCGCCGCATGTTCATTATAAACATAAGAAGATGTGGTATAATTGCCAAGGAGACAACTCTCCACGGTCATTAGTCTGTCTCAAGTCAGGAAACTCGGTAGTGGTTTTAATATCTTAATGTCTTTTAGTTACTAGTATTTGATTGGTTGATATGCTGTCTCAATGACGATTTTCTTGATAGGGATTCTTTACAACCAAAGATTATTAAGTAAAAATTATATGATTATAGGGTGAGCAACAATGATAAGTGAACTATTTCTTCCAGTGACAGTATTAAGGTTTTTGACTTTACCTACCCAAAGACTGTAGATGATGTATTCAGTCATTGATATAAACATTTTCTTTGATCTGAATAAAATATTGATGTTGCAAAGTGAGAAAAAAGAATTTGGTTTTAACCTAAACGAAACTATTAGTATTGGAACTCAAACATTCAATCAACTTTATGAACTATAAAGTGTAGAAAAATGAATTAAGCATACGTGTAAATTTACAGGCAGACAGCTACACCGCCTTTTAAAATTACTTATTGATCTCATTATATTTGGACAAATAAATGAGATATGACTAACGTATACTAATTATTGCAAGCTATTTATTAAATAAATGGGAAATGATAAATCGAAGCTTTGGTTAAATTATGTACTTGATTAAAACGAATATTAATTAATAGGCCGCTTTGTCTGTGGTTAGTGGGATCTAAAACATGCAACAATACACGTCATTAGTATACTAAATGACAAAAACATACCAAATCAATTCTCCATCATATTTTGAACTCTTTTTGTAGTTAGTGCCTCTGTATTATCATGAACTATCATTGATTTGGTCATGATTATAAATTAACTATTTACAAAACTTACTAAGGATTTTCTACCCAAAGAAAAGATTACTATAGCTGTATTTGGCAAAACCTTTCGAAATTTTGGGTTCCCAATGCCCTTCAGCTTCGTCCTTTATTTAGCCTTTTTAACTTTTTTGATTCGAGCGTCACTGATGAGTCTTTTGTTGACGAAACGCGCGTCTGCGACTCATTTCACAAATAATCTTACTAAAAAAATGGCACGTAAGTCATGAACATTTCAGTATAACTTAAAATCAATTTTTGTCTTAAAATTTTCTGTGAAACAAGACTCTGGCGTACACAATTTTAAGTCTAGTATCTATGATGAATACCTGTGTGTGTGTGTGTGAAATACTGGGCAAAGTGCAAATCTGGCTTGTATGGCTGTCAATGTGACTACGGAATGTCAGTTTTTCAGCAAAATTTTCAAAAAGAATGGTGCTTATTTTGTTTTATATGATATCCTACTATAAGATCCTAAACTTTACAAAATATTTGTACAAATATTGAAGTTGTGTACTCGAAATTCTGTCACTTTAAAATAGTTGAAAAGATTTAAAGATAAGACATGACTATATATTGGTCAGTGAACCACAGTAAAGCACAGAAATATAACATTCGATAGATAAAGACTTAGTGGGGCTATATTTTTACATTTTACTAACGATTATTTTCACAAATAAAATATAACGTTTTGCCTCTACAGTATTGCGTGAAAGTCCAGTTTTTGCTATTAACACTTTAATACACACAAGTCATTTAAGCTATTTAGTCTACCTTAGCATATATTTTTCAAATGCAGCATAACAAATAAGTAAAACAACATCTTTTAATGATGATCTTTTGAATTTACTTGCCCTTCCGTAAAGTAACCTCTGTCCTTGATTCCGGTCAATCCACTATATTATAGCTTAAACTGCTTCGGTCTAGTTAAGCTACCAACACGTGGCTACTAACACGTGGCTACCAACAATCAATCATGTTTGTTGTTATGATATTATGTCATTTTTACAACAAAAAAAGTTCCGATTGAAAATTTTATTTTCGATGCCTTAAATGAAACGTATACCCAGTATTCAGCACTTCTGTGTTGACATGAATTATCATTGGTATTATGATATTTATAAAATAACTATTTACAAAACCTCGAATTGTTAGAAATACTAAATATGTTCTACCCCAGGAATAAATTACCGTAACTGTATTTGGCCAAACCTTTTGGAATTTTTGGCTCTCAATGCTCTTTAACCTCTTACTTTATTTGCCTGATAACTTTTTTTATGCGAGCGTCACTGATGAGTCTTTTGTAGACGAAACGCGCGTCTGGCGTACAAAATTATGAATCTGGTCTCTTTGATGAGTTTTTCTATATATGGTTTGTGTCCTGTCATAGTGTCATAAATTCATCAAGATATACAAGTTAGATTTATAGAAACAAATGGACTTGTTTACAGCGATATTTTTATTTGGTCTTTTCTTTACTGATATATGTACATGTTAAAACGTCCACTTCATGTTGTTTTGTGTATTTTATAGGTTCTGAAGCAAGTAGATGGATTTCAAGAAGCATAAATGATTATAGACGTCCACCATTTCGTCAACAGCCATCTCTTGACATCCATCCGGATTATGGCCCCGATTATGGCCAAACCTATCGCCAGGATCCATCTTTCGCTGCTAGATACAATATGATACCATCGACACCTCCTACGTTTTATGAGTTTTTCGACCCTATTTCTGGTGTACACAAGAAGATTCGCAATCATTTCGATCATCAGAGACCAACTTATCGACCACATCCACAAGAATATTCCAGAACCTTAAGATTAAGGGATGCCTCTCCTTTTCCGTCGACATATGAAAATAAGCAATACAAAAATACATACAACGCACCACATGAAAATTCATATGCAAACGATAAACAATTTTATTTAGACTTTGCAACGAGAAGACAAAAAAGTTTTAGGAACAATGCCCAATTTTCAGGGCAATTAAAGGGAAACGGCATTAATGACGAATTTGTAATCTATCTGTTGGGTGATTGGAAAGGCTACAGAGGATAGACACAAACGAAATACCATTACAAAATCTGCATGAAATTCCAGAACTGCTACAATTAGTGTGTTTACAACAAAAGGGGGGATAGGAGAATAGAAATACATAATAAAAGTAGTAAAACCTTATTTCGAGCAAACTACTACACAGATTTTTGTAGCCTTAATTGCCCCCTTGATTTTCTAGCTCTTTCCATATATCGATCATCGTTTACAATGAGTAGTTCTAGCATATCTTCTAGTAGTTAAAAATTCTGAATGGCAAAACTTGTCCAAATGTTCAATAGTATACATTCTTGTTGGTAATACTAAAAGGAATGAAAGAAATCATCCATTAAAAATAGACTGTAATCAAAAGCAAGAAATCAATGCCATTGATATTACAGATAGAAGACCCATCGTGCTTATGTTTTATGTTATCAAGCTTTTACATAAACAAGAATAAATAAGAAACTCGCATAGGAAATGTGAATGTGCTTCATATTCGTTTGTTTATTGCTTTGTGGACAGATCTAGCCCACAAAATATATTGGTTTCGCTTAGGCTAAGCTTTGATTTCTTCTGTTTGTTATTACGTTC